CCCCACTCGGGCCCTTTAAGGATCTCTAGGTAACAGGTCATCAGGTACAGAGTTGTTGCTGTCCATGAAGGCAGCGGGCTCAGATTCGGTCACACACCTGAGACGGTTTGGATAAAGTCACAGGAGGATAATCAGAGACGCTCACCGTGGTCATGATGGCGTTCCAGGTGGACGAGAAGACGTCCGTGTTGTTGTTACCCTGATAGTGACGCTTAAGATCCCGGCTGAAGTACTCTCTGGTTAACTGAAGAGACACACACACACACACACACACACACACACAGTGATGCAGTCCTTCTTTTTGTCAGGTCAGAGCTTGTGTGAAGCGCCACCTTCCCTTTCCCCCCGACCTGCATTGGGTTATAACTGTGTGTGTGTGTGTGTGTGTGTGTGTGTGTGTGTGTGTGTGTGTGTGTGTGTGTGTAAACATCAGTTGTAATAAGTGAAAACGACCTCTGACATCACAGAGCCGTGTGTCGCTCTTCTACCCACGATGCAGTTTGGAAATATTCTTGGATTTAGCGCGGCCAGCTGTGTGACTCTTTGACCTTTTCTTTAGATTTCAAATCGATCCGTACTGAACGACGGCTCCTTCGTTCACAGGTCACTCTGACCTGCTGTGATGTCACTGCGTGCTCATATCTGACTCACGTGTTCCCTGAAGAGGAAGGCGAGGACGGCGGCAGCCAGCTCGGCCAGGAAGATGAAGAGGATGAGCATGAAGAACTGAAAACAAACGAACACACAAATACACAAACACATGTTACAAACTCTGATAACCACACGTCCACACTGCAGAGCCGAAACCTCAGAATACTCAGAAACCTTTAAGGAAATATAAAAATGATAATCTGCATAATGAAAGCAAGAATCTGACTGTACATATTTAGTTTAACCCTCATGCATCACTTTTTCTACTGTTTTTTGCATAAATCTCTTAAACACTTGTTTAAATATGAGTAAATATGAATCTGTTCTATTTTCATAGCAGTTTTTGTAAATTGGACATTTTAACCCTCCAATGTCCAAACAGGGAACTACATTTTAAATCTGATGCTACACAAAAACTAACAATGCATCAAAGTCAATATTTTGGATAATCTTTGACATATCCAAGACTGATTTAAAAAAAATCCCCCAGCCACCAAATATTTGTCATATGGAAAATAACTCATTTTTGTGTTTTTTTCTTAAATAACAACAGTGACATCAAGTAATCAAACTGGCATTTAAAGGGTTAAAGTCCTAAAAATTATTGAATATTTGATAGTTTGGATCAGGGCTGGAGTTGTTTAAGAGATGTATGCAGAAAAAAAGTAGAAAGAAATATCAATCTGTTTTATTTATATAGCAGTTTTTTGGAAGTGGACATTTTTGTCCTTAGTATCTTAAAAGGGTAGTAAATGAAACTGATGCCTGAGGGTTAATGTGCACTATTACCTGTCCCGTCCCCTAGAGGGCGTCCTTAACCTGTGCTGATATTGTGAACTAACAAGCAGAGGAGGCTTGTCTAGTGTTGTAGGACTCGAGATCAGTCCTGGTCTAAAGACCACTTTTTGTAGGTCTCGGTCTTGTGCATGTTTAGACTTTATCGTCCCTAAGGGGAAATTCTTTTCCACAGCACCGTTACTGTCCAAACAGACAAGTCCCAGAACATACATACACAGAAAACAGAGTATACCACAAACAGAGATAGACAAAAAGTCAAGAGTTCCCACTCTGGCCTGTTCAGCAAGGCCTTTTGTTTAGGGCCGCAGGGATCAGGCTCCTCCCAAGGCGACCCTCTGCCCCTCATAGCTCTGTAGCTCCGTCCTGAGGGGAGTGGGGTGAGGTGAGGGTTTAACCATTTTTTGCCTTCATTAGATCGGACAGCTGTAGAGAGACAGGAAGTGTTGGGAGGAGAGAGAGCGGGGGAAGACAGGCCGCAAAGGGCAGAAGTCGGACTCGAACCCTCTGCCACTGTGACGAGGACTATAGTATTTAATATGATAATAATACTCTTTATTCCCACTTTAGGACTTTGTTGTCTCCCTCCTCCCTCGGCCTGCTGCACACCCGAGTATTGTTCAGATTTAGAGGAGGAGTCAGTGGAGAGGCGCTTCTTAACATCTGTGAGGAACATGAGGACTGTTTCACAGAGGAGCTCTCAGACATGTTTTCTAAACCTCCTCCTGCACGAGTAGTTCACACTGATTGGTCTAAAATGCAGTTTGAGAGCAAATGTGAGGAACAGCTGATTGACTCATGACCTCGTTATAGATCCTCATTGCTCATTTATATTTCAAACAGAAACACATTTGATGAGTACTGTTAGCGCTAGCCTGCTAGCTAACATTAGCTCCCGTCCTGCAGAGCTGCACAGACACACCAACGCATGAGTATGTAGCGCTCACAGCGGCGTAGACTCAGCACGGCGGTATCAATCAGTGTCCTGTTTCTCTCATTAACACAGATTTATTTCAGACTCACAAAGAGCAGCAGACATTTGTTCTCCCTGATGGCGCCGCAGCAGCCCAGGAAGCCGAGCAGGAACAGCATGCCGCCCATCGCCAGGATGACGTAGACGCCCGTGAAGAGCAGCGGGTTCGCCGCCACGATCTCCCTGAAGCCCATCGGGTCCACCAGCACCCAGACGCCAACACCGAGCAGGAAGGAGCCCCCCAGCTGGCACACAGAGGGTTAACACTTCAGACTGAGATGTGCGTCCTTCTTTAACAACAGTTAAATATTAAAGAAATCTTTGATCTCATCGTGACGTGAATAAAAAGGCGAGCGGCGGGAAAAACAACTCACGAAGATGAAGAAGTTAAAGATGAACATGAGGTACTTCATACAGCCGAGGCAATCGCCCTCCATCACTAATCCTCCAGATGACACCTCCCCCTGACCCTGTGAACACACACACACACACGCACACACACACACGCACACACACACACGCACACACACACACAGAGAAAACATTAGAGATTATTTCTAGAGTAAATATTCAGTGTTGTACCTTTTGTACACAAACTTCATATTCGACACGTTCTGGCTTCACTCTCAGGGAGTTTAACGCTCCGTCCATTCTGAAGGAAACATACGACCGTCAGATGTAGTGATCATCATAAATGTGCAGGGATGTAAACGATTACAGACTCCTGAATGTGCTGATGAACGCCGCTGCTCTCTGACACGTCGTCACAGACGCTTAGAGAGTCTGTGAGGACGTGACTCTGACAGTCTGTCTCTCTGAGGATCAGCTGACGGCGTCGACATGTTGATGTGTGTGTGTGTGTGTGTGTGTGTGTGTGTGTGTGTGTGTGTGTGTGTGTGTGTGTGTGTGTGTGTGTGTGTGTGTGTGTGTGTGTGTGTGTGTGTGTGTGTGTGTGTCGGGGGGCAATCAGCGGGGGTGTGATGAGGACCAACTGTGCACTTTGTGGTCCTGATGGTGTTTACCAGTTAAAGGAACATTCAGCCACCTGTCACACTGAGCCGTCATCACAAACAAGAAGATTCTCTGACCCGTACGATCAGCGTCACAGATTTGTTTTTAGAGGTCTGTCGAGCATTCAGTCGACTAATAATAAGTATTCTTAAGATTAAATGATTGATGATATTTGGATTTCTTTTTGCATCTTTATTCTCGTATTTTTGTTTGCTGTTTGGGAAACAACCTGAGGTTACTAAGGTAGAAAAGCAGGTAGAGGCCCAGAATGCACCTGGGTGGGCCATGCAGCTGAAGACTTTCTTGGTTCATTTGTTGCCAACCGAACATCGTGGATCATCTCGTGAGTCGAGTGACCCTTTGAACCCGTCTGTCTCTGAAAGGTTTGTGTTTATAACGGAGGGGGAGGTCACTTCTACAACTGATGTAATCTGTTTGTTTTAGAAGCCGTCTGTTCAATCGGGACGTGTGTGTGTGTGTGTGTGCATGTGTGTGTGCGGGTGCATGTGTGTTTGTCTGTGTGTGTGTGTGTGTGTGTGTGTGTGTGTGTGTGTGTGCGGGTGCATGTGTGTTTGTGTGTGTGTGTGTGTGTGTGTGTGTGTGTGCGCACGCGCGCATGTGTGTGTGTCTGTGTGTGTGTGTGTGTGTGTGTGTTTGTCTGTGTGTGTGTCTGTGTGTGTGTGTGTGTGTGTGCACACGCGCGCATGTGTGTGTGTCTGTGTGCGTGTGTGTGCGTGCGTGTGTGTCTCTGTAAGTGTGTGTTTGTCTGTGTGTGTCTCTGTGTGTGTGTGTGTGTGTGTGTCTCTGTGTGTGTGTGTGCACGCGCGCGTGTGTGTCTGTGTGCGTGTGTGTGTGTTTGTGCGTGTGTCTGTGTGCGTGTGTGTCTCTGTAAGTGTGTGTGTGTGTGCAGATATTGTGTCCGTGTGTATGTGTGTGTGTGTGTGTGTGTGTGTGTGTGTGTGTCTCTGCGTGTCTGTGTGTGTGTGTGTCTCTGCGTGTCTGTGTGTGTGTGTGTGTGTGTGTGTCTCTGCGTGTCTGTGTGTGGTTGCAGATATTGTGTCTGTAACATGTTTTCTGTGACAGGTCGGCATGTCGTGTGTTTGTGCTGACAGAGACGTGTTAATAACGCTGAGTGCACGCACACACTCACACACACACAAACACACACACACACACAAACACACACACACTTATTTCATTAACCCCGACCTCTCACAAAAAGACAATTACAATTACCCAGAGTGCACTGTTGTCAGAAACCTGTGTAATTGCAGGCAGAGTGGAGGGTCCGTCTGCGTTCTTCATTAAAAGAAATGTTTTAACAGAGCGCAGCGATGAGTCGTAAACGCTACTCGACAATCACACAGTGAGAGCGAGCACAGCTGCTGCTTTAGGGAGAGAAATAACTCCAACACTTCAATCTCAGACTTTAGCTTTTTGATTCTTCTTCTTCATCCTTTAAAAAAGTCTCTCCTGAGAAACTCCTCTGCTCACACACGAAGATGTTATATATATATTATATATAGACGGAGGAGGAGGAGGAAGAGGAGGAAGAGGAGGAGGAAGAGGAAGAGGAAGAGGAAGAGGAGGAGGAAGAGGAGGAGGACAAGGAGGAAGAGGAAGAGGAGGAGGAAGAGGAGGAAGAGGAGGAGGAGGAGAAGGAGGAAGAGGAGGAGGAGGAGGAGGAGGAGGAGAGGAGGAGGAGGAGGAAGAGAAGGTGGACGAGGAGGAGGAAGAGGAGGAGGAGGAGGAGGAAGAGGAGGAGGAGGAGGAGGAGGAGGAGGAAGAGGAGGAGGAGGAGGAGGAGAAGAAGAAGGAAGAGGAGGTGGACGAGGAGGGGAGGAGGAGGAGGAGGAAGAGAAGGTGGACGAGGAGGAGGTGGACAAGGAGGAGGAGGAAGAGGAGGAGGACAAGGAGGAAGAGGAAGAGGAGGAGAAGGAGGAAGAGGAGGAGGAGGAAGAGGAGGAGGAGGAAGAGGAGGTGGACGAGGAGGAGGAGGAAGAGGAGGAGGACAAGGAGGAAGAGGAAGAGGAGGACAAGGAGGAAGAGGAAGAGGAGGAGGACGAGAAGGAGGAAGAGGAGGAAGAGGAGGAGGAGGAAGAGGAGGAGAAGGAGGAAGAGGAGGTGGACGAGGAGGAGGAAGAGGAGGTGGACGAGGAGGAGGAGGAGGAGGAGGAGAAGTAGGAAGAGGAGGTGGACGAGGAGGAGGAAGAGGAGGTGGACGAGGAGGAGGAGGAAGAGGAGGAGAAGGAGGAAGAGGAGGTGGACGAGGAGGAGAAGAGGAGGTGGACGAGGAGGAGGAGGAAGAGGAGGAGAAGGAGGAAGAGGAGGTGGACGAGGAGGAGGAAGAGGAGGTGGACGAGGAGGACGAGGAGGAGGAGGAGGAAAAACCACCGGCTTCAAAGAATGACGCTGAGCAGCCACTGTCAGCAAGTTGACATGTTAGAGGAAGTGGATTGATCCCTGTTAACATGTTAGTCTGACTGAAATCGTACCGAGATGAATTTCACAGCGGGCACCCCCGCACGGAGCATTTCTAATCTTTGAATTCATGCAGGACTTTCCTTCATTCAGAAACACAGATATGCAGGAATAGAATATTTTGTCCCGCAGTCCTGCGCCCAAATTCAGACATTTCTATCGATATGTGGATCATGTGCAGCGATTACTGCATGGCTCTATCTGTACTGATAGAGCTACTGACCACATCTCCTCATGGGAGCTCCTGAGCTCTCAGGTCTTTCAGGTTCCTCTGGATTGTTGGTGGGGACGGCCTGCTGCATGGACCCCCCCCCTCCCTCCACTTTCACTGGCGTCAGTGTGTTAGAAGCTCAGGATTCTTCTCCTGCCAGCAGAGGCCGGGCTCTCGAGTAGACGGCGCTCCCCCAACCTTCAGCGAGGTGATCTGGCTCTACTACCACCCAACGTCCCTGACGCCCAGCCTCCGCCATCGGACTGTGTTGTCCCCATAACCATCGCCATCCTCATCCATGCACGGCCTGCTCCGACCTCCACCTCAGCAGAAAGGAAATCCGGACAACAGGAACGAGAGAAACACAAAGGAGAAATTCTTCCTGCATATTATCCCATATGCTCTTTAGTAAAGCGACTCCAGATAACACACAGACCATTTAAAAATGGCGAGGACATCTTCTGATTTACAGTCCAACATTAGACTGGTTGTGTTCTTGAGGTACGAGATCTTGTCACAGTCCGAGTTATTTAATCATCATTTGTATTCAAATGAACCAAAGATTTGAAGAACTTCACATCTTTAGTCAGCCAAACGTTGCCAACACATTTGTGATATCCAGAACGTGTGCAGGAGCTTGCTTGTCATTTTAAATCCCCCGTATTAGAGGTCCAGGACTTTTTGTTGTCGTGGTATAAAAACAGGTCGCTATCATTTCATTTGTATTAGCAGTTGAACATCCTGGTATCATGACTAAGTCTGGGAATCTTTGGGTGTCTCACGATTTGATTGAGAAATATTTTTCGATTCAAAACGATTCTGGATTCAAAGTCTATTTTTGAGTTAGTACTTCAGGATCCAGTCATCTGTGAGACTGAGTTAGTTAAAGAGCTAACACTAAAAAAAAGTGGGTTATGACTCTATTTAAAATCTCAAAGATAAGAATCTTCCCCTCCTCTAATCATGACAGCTCTACAGTATAATAAACAAGCAGACTTCTGATCCGTTTCTCCGTCCTCTCACTGCGAAGATGCAGACTTGAGATTCCTGAGAGCTTCCTCTTCTTCTTCTCCTTCTTCTTCTTCTTCTCTGCAGTTTAATGAGGACAAAGTGAGAGTCAATAAAACCCGAACATGTTGGAGAGGCTCGTTGGAGTGTTTGATGAATTTAGATAATTAAAGGGAGATTGCTTCTGACCAGCCTGAGACCTCTCTCTCTCTGCTGTTTAACATTCAGAGCAGGAGGTCAGTCAGTGTGAGCTAAAACCTTCTCCACACACCACACTGTGTGTGTGTGTGTGTGTGTGTGTGTGTGTGTGTGTGTGTGTGTGTGTAAGTTCGTTCTTCATCCTCCTGTTTTTATCACGTTTGCATCTCTGAGACTTTTGAGCATGAAATAAGATAATTTCTCCCTCATGTGGTTCTCTTGTGAAGCCCGGAGGTCGAGGTAGAAACTGTCTGACGGGTTTTGGACGTGAACACGATATCAGATAATTTATTGTTTTTAATTATTAAATATTGCAGACAAACTCCAGCACACCGTCTTAATTGTAAAAATACATAGTGAACAAACTAACCAAGACCAGGACGTCCAGAGACCAGAGTGCTCCAAGCAAGTCAAGACCAAGACCAAGACCAAGACCTTTAGGGCTCAAGAGACCGAGTCAAGACCAAGACCTTTAGGGATCAAGAGACCGAGTGAAGACCAAGACCAAGACAAGACAAGACCAAGACCAAGACCAAGAGCTTTAGGGATCAAGAGACCGAGTGAAGACCAAGACCAAGACCTTTAGGGATCAAGAGACCGAGTGAAGACCAAGACCAAGACCTTTAGGGATCAAGAGACCAAGTCAAGACCAAGACCAAGGCAGGATGTGACTGACTAAAAGACCAAAATATACCTGAGACCAGAGTGCTCCGAGACCGAGTCAAGACCAAGACATTAAGAGATCGAAGCCGATGAAAGACCATAAGACCATATCCATGTCAATCTCAGAAACCTCACCTCACCACACCACGTGATTGCAGTGTTAGCCTCCAATCTAATGGAGGCGCCTCCAGCCATCATTGGGCGTGAAGCTGACAGAGACAGAAACATATTAACGCTCACATCAAACCTAACAATTCAGAGTCATCACAATCTAACAAGTCTTTGGACTGTGGGAGGAAGCCACACACGCCGATCACGCACGTTGGGTAAAGAGATGGACAGACGGATTCCTCCCTTTATGAGAACTTGAGCTGATGTGGGGCGCTGAGTCACGCAGGTCTGTGGTGATGTGGGGGAAATGACGTGTCTCTCTCCGAGTTGACTCGAGGACAGAGTGATGTAATGTCGAGTGCTGACTGTGCACAGGGGGAAAGAGTCATGGCCCCAAAATAGAGTTTAAAATTCAGACTTTAAATATTTAATACAAACATGAAGTCAAAGCGGAAGAGGAGGAGGAGGAAGATGTGGAGGATGAGGAGGAGGAGGAGGAGGAGGAGGAGGAGGAGGAGGAAGAGGTCCACTTCATCTGTGGGTCTTTTTTTAATTCACTTATGTGTCTCCTCACATCCCACGTTGTTTCCTGACACGAGGAGATGACCAGATGAGAACTCTTCACTTCACAGCACCAGTCTGATGCGGCGTCAGGTACTGATGATGCGCTGCACAGCTGATTCACCTGTCACCTGTCACCTGTATGTCTTGGTCTCAGTCAGTGTGTTCTTGACTACAACACTAATCTGAAGGCAGGCAACAACACCACTTCTTTCTGTCTGACTTGGTGGTCAAAGCCCATCATGGGGGACTTTGGAGCGTGCTCAGAAGCCCAGAAGTCTGAGTCCAGTTTGGATCTGATTGATCTCCAACCACATTATGTAGACGTGTTAGTCTGACTTTGAGAAATGTATCATGCACAATTGCAGTCAGTCTGACATGTTTACAGGAAGTCGGGCGATCACAATAAATCCACTTTTTCTACCTGGATGTAAACACATTCTGCTGTCAGAGTACGAGCCTTCTCATTGGTCAGGCTGACTCATAGCGGTTAAACAAACAGAGAAGAAGTGTGAAGAGATAGAGAAGAGGACAGAGAAGCGTCAGAAGGTATCGTACCATATGTACCTGTTTAATGACTGTGTTTCAGGTGAAGGTGGAGAACCAACGTGCTCGTCCTCTGACTCTGTTCTGCTTCACTTCAGCTGCAGAGAGGAGAGAAAGTCTTAGAACGAGATAACCTGTGGCGAGAACAGAGTCAACCGTTTCAAACACAAACATGTTGGTCACGTGTGAAATATTTACTTGATGGTTTTTATTATGTTTTATATTGAGCGACAGCTCCGTCTGCTGCTCGTTTCTTTTTTTCTGTTAAACAAAAACAACTGTGACCCCGGCCCCGAAGTCTACCTCATGTCCATCCGTTTCCATAGCAACCATAACATTACCTGCAGGAGTGAAAGCATGATGGATGATGCTCCTTCAGAGCCGCCGCAGCAACCTACACAACATGAAACGACGAGGAAACGGGCGAGAAACGGAGAAATCGATGATGTAATGAGAGCGATGAATCAGGCTGTCAAAGTCATGCTCCGTGTGCGTTTGTGTGATTCACTTCATGATTCATGTTTTTTTTTAATCATGATTCAACCTGCAGGCTTGTTTGTAACAATTGGAAAATTAACCCTTTAAGGCTTTCAAGCTCTTTTGTTTCTTACTTTTGTTAAACCTGCTACATGACTCGTGTTCCCGCTCGGCCTTCGTATACTGATGTGGGACGAATGATTTCAGAGAATTTTGGATCATAAAATAACTAAAAACAGGGCTGCAGGTAGCCGGGTTCGAATCCGACCTGTGTCCATCCACTCCTGTCTCTGAAAGTAAAGGCAGAAAAAGCCCAAAGATAGAACTTTAAAAGAAGACCAGCAGCTTTATGTGCAGAGATAGTTCCTGAGTTTTCATTGGCATGATATCTTTATCTTTTCTCCAAATCGATTTAACGCTGACATCGAGCTCAGCTAACTGACTCAGAGAAGAGTTTTTTTATTGGGTAGGTGAGGTCACCTGTTGGACAAACTCTGGCTTGTTTTTATGTCAAACATTAGAGATCATGTTGCATTGTGGGAGTCTGACACTGTAAGAAGTCATGAAACAAACATCGGTACGGGCAATCGGCTAAATATTTTCTATTTCCGTTCCTGTGGTGTGTTTGAGTTTTACTTGAATCAAACTCTGGTGTCATGTCACCCCTAACACCTACAGGTACCAAAACATGAGGTTTACAATCTCTACAAAATAAAAGAGTCTATTATATCCTCAGAGAGTTCAAATCGGATCAATCTGACAACAGAAGGAACTTCAGGCCTGAAATCTTTGATCACTTTATGCGTCTTCTTGATGTGTAATTGTGTGTTCGGCTACAGGCTGAAGATGAAGATGTGGTCCTGTCATACAGAAGGGACGTGACTCACGATGTGTCGACCTTCAGATCTGTTGACAGCAGCTCTGCCCACACAGAGACGAGACCTTCCCTCTGCTGCTCACTCACAGAGACAAACTGACAGAACACAGAATCCCCGTCATGTGCAGGCGGACTGAGCACTGACTAATCCTCAACTGTTTTCATCTCTGAAGTGTTTAATGACAAGTCGATCAAACGCTCCTGAACTCAACGCCATCCTGATCAAGCAGAGTCAACAAACTGCTCCTGCTGCTTATCCTGGCATCAACAGACACGATTAAGTGGTGGTCAAAACGGAGAAGCACGCCGACATGGACAGAAAGACATTCAAAAACAAACTATAAAACATCCAAAACAAATAAATAAATGATCAGACGTACAACTGAAAAGAAATGCAACAAAATAAACGCTGCATATCCAGTCATCACCGCAGAAGTGCTCCAGGCCTGTAGGGGGCGCTGAGTGGATCAAGCATGAGACGAGAGGTCTGCAGGCTGCAGCCATAGCCGACTCCACTGGACTTAAAACGTCATCCTCCCAGTGGCCTAAATCAACCAGCAAATATTTTCTCCTTAAACCCGGTTTCACATCGATCCATTTCTGCTTAGCGCCACCTTCTGGCCTGGAGCACTCCTATTGTCGATACCGGATACGTTAATACATTTGTGTTGGATTTCTGCAGTACGTTTCTGTCGTTGTATTTGTTACGATGTGTCTTTATATTGTCTTGATTATATTTTGCAGCCTGTTTCTCCTCATTAAAACCTTTTTGGTGGCTGCAGCTTGATAGTTGTACAGTCGACTGTATTGTTTGCAGTGAAAAATTGTGGAAAAGGGATTGAAGTTTTGTAAAAGAGGCTGATGCCATTAAACTCCATCAGAGCTGCGTCAGGAGAATAATAAGAAGCTGGCTCTGCCTCGCTGTCAGGAGCTGCTCTACACTCACAGTTCTTCTCTGACTGCTTAAAGGAAAGCTTCACTCCTGATGGAGGTGGGATGAAAAGAAAATGACTCCCATCACGTCAGCTCTCTGTGCTGCGTGAGCGCCGAGCTGTCAGGGGACACTTCTTAAAAGATACAAGTAAAACATGAACCTCCAGAGAGCAAATAACAACTGAGAGGAGGAGGAGGAGGAAGAGGGCGAGGGGGAGGAGGAGAGGAGAGGAGGAGGAGGAGAGGGAGGAGGAAGAGGAGGAGGAGGAAGAGGAGCAGGAGGCCTGTCTTAATGCAGCTCATGCTGGTTTCATACAAACTGCTAGTTTCACAAAATCAAGACCACAGTCGTCCTGACTGATCCAGGTAGAGCAGTTCAGATATCGAGGTTCACAAAATGCCTCTGATGTCGGCTCAAACGCAGCACCGCTTATCAGCAGGTACACCTGACCATGCACTTATGTGACAATATAAAGTCAAAAGTTTTATCCAGCAGGCTGCGCTGTGTTGTCACCACAGAGGTCAATTTTCCTAACTCAGTGACATAACAGCCCGGGGGTGATACGCTGAGCCTCAGCGTATCTCAGCTCCTGTGACCAAGGACCACACAGGGAGCAGACTCCTCATCACAGCTGAAAACATCTGGTTCAGGTTAGCAGAATGAAGCGGAGCGGGTGCAGAAATATCCAGTCAGCAGGTTTCTCTCTCTCTCTTCTGCATGCTGAGCGTGGACGTACGAGTGGCTGAGTGCCAAACGCTCTGGTGATGAAGCCCCCGTGTTTCAGCTGCAGCTCCTCTCTGTGTTTCATGAACCACAGACCGTGACTGAGAGCGTTTGGAGTGACCTCACTGTGTGCAAACATACAGTACGGTGGCCCTGAAGGTCGACTGCAAAATCACTTCACTAAACGCAGAAATGTGTAACACAGAAACGTGTCACAATTTTTTTTTTTAGGTCTCTAAAAAGCTTTCATGTTGCTCAAAATATTTTTGCATTGCTTGAAATGATTTTGCTGTTGACCTTCTGAGAACAGACGAGTTGTTGAGGTCGGATTTTAAAGAGCAGTTGAAATGATTTTGCTGTTGACCTTCTGAGAACAGACGAGTTGTTGAGGTCGGATTTTAAAGAGCAGACAGCCCTGAAGGTCGACTGCAAAATCACTTCACTAAACGCAGAAATGTGTAACACAGAAACGTGTCACAATTTTTTTTTTTAGGTCTCTAAAAAGCTTTCATGTTGCTCAAAATATTTTTGCATTGCTTGAAATGATTTTGCTGTTGACCTTCTGAGAACAGACGAGTTGTTGAGGTCGGATTTTAAAGAGCAGACACAGTTGGACTTCTGATCTCTAACTGAACGTCTAATATATTATAACGATCAGTCTTTATCTTTTAAGGAGGAGTCAGTAGAAATGTTTGTAAACATTCAAACATGGCCCCTCCTCCTGGGCTCATCGCCCCCAGAAGCCCCGCCCCCTGCAGGAAGTAGTGTGTACGTTTACTGCTTGTACCTACACTGCAACTAATGCACGCTAGCACAAGCTAACGGCCGGTGTTTGTCACCTGTCTGTCCAACAGGAAGTAGACCAACTCCACGTCCACAGGTAAAAGCCAACACAAGCTTCACCCTCGTTTTAGAACGAGCTTTATCCGCTTGGTGTTTCTCCTCACTCTGATTATATTTTCTCTTCTTTGCTGCTACGTCCATGGCCATCATATTCACTGGTTTGAATGGCGTCCAATCACTGAATTGTATCCACTCCTAAACTCACCTGCTGCGCTGTCATTGGCTGGAGGAAACACACCAGCTCCACCAAGAAACATCCCGAGTCAACCAGAACAAAGCAGAAGAGTAAAATCCAGTCAGAGGACAGAGTCTCTTCAGAGTCACCACCACAACATGTACGGAGGCAGAGAAGGGACGATGGAGCAGCTCTATTTTAGGATAGCTGTAATCATCCTTCTTCCTGTACTAAACGTTTCATTGATGCTCCTGTTTGTCCTGCTTGTCTTTAAACTCTCTCTTCTCTTTATTCTAATAAAACATCTCCTCTTTGAATCCCTGTTTATTTTTATCCTCTGTTTCTAATTTAGGTGAAGCTCTTTGTGACAGATTCACACAGATTCAGAGAAGATGTTCACGGTGAAGTCTTTTGTACGCCTGACTAACACATGACCACAAAGAGAAGAGCAGCCCCCCCCACCCTCGCCCCGCCCCCCAGTGCAGCGACAGGGTTCAGATCAGGGGTCTCTCTGTGAGGCTGACCCACCATCTGCTCCTTAATCTGGTTAAAAGTGGAATCCTCTGACAGAGCAGCAGGATGTGAGTGTGATGTGTTCACATCGTGTTAAAGACGATAATTTAATCAGCCAATCACAGAAACCCGCCTCTTTCCTCTTTATGAGGTTTAAGCATCAACACTGAATCTCCCATTAGAACAAACCTGACAGCTCAACACACAAACCAGCAGATGACACACAGGAGCACAGACACTTTGTTACTTCTTTAAACTTATTTATGTGAAATATTTGTAATGTTTGACTCTAATTCAAAACAACGTTCATCTGAGTTCAACTTAAAAGGTCCGGTTTCTTAAAGAGTGGTCACATTGCTTCCTTTAGGCCCGGCTCAGGCTACAGGAGTCCTAAAATCTGATCTGATTCTGAGACTGATAAAGTCTCTGTAGCGTGCAGCAGTAGGACTGAATGAACCCTAGCTATGAATTGTGGGCTGAAACTCTGGTGTCATCAACCCCTATAGTCTCAGGTCTGCAGGTCTCTAATTTTCAGAGCCTGACCCTCATAGACCCCCTCAGTCCCCCCTGGGGACTCTGGTTCTGTTCAATCCTTTTGTCAGAGACCCGCTGTGATCCACAAATAGACCAAAGAGACCTCACATGAACACGAACAGAGGGGACAGATGGAGACGTCTCCGTCCTCCAGAGACTCCACCTGAACGCTCGGGAGGATGGGGGCGAGGAGGAGGAGGACAAGAAGGAGGAGGAGGAGGAGGAGGAGGACAAGAAGGAGGAGGAGGAGGAGGAGGACAAGAAGGAGGAGGAGGAGGAGAAGAAGGAGGAGGAGGAGGAGGAGGAGGAGGAGGAGGAGGAGGGAGGAGGAGAAGAAGGAGGGAGACAAGGAGCAGAAAGAGGACAAGGAGGAAGGAGACAAGGAGGAGGAGGACAAGGAGGAGGGGGACGAGGTGGGAGGAGGGAGACAAGGGGGAAGGAAACAAGGAGGAGGAGGAGGACAAGAAGGAGGAGGGAGACAAGGAGGAAGGAGACAAAGAGGAGGAGGAGGGAGACAAGGGGGAAGGAGACAAGGAGGAGGAGGAGGACAAGAAGGAGGAGGAGGGAGAGGAGGAGGACAAGGAGAAGGAACACTGAAACACCTGTCCTGTGTCTGAGCTGCTTTATCTCATCATGACTTTAAAACTTTACCTTTGGGCTTCTGGCTTTAATTTAGCTGTGAGTAGAACTTCTTGCAGTACTCATCGTCATGTTAACAAAACGCAAAAGATTAGAAGAAAACCAGTTTTAATTTGTACACCATTAAACTCATTAAACTGTGAAACTCAACACGCTCCCTGTTACAACAGACTTTAGTTGAATTGATTTTCTTCTCTGACATAACACCTTATCTTTACCTTAACCTTTAACCTTTCTTTAAAAATGTAATTAACTCTCCTTCCAACAAAGTTCACCTGGTTCATTTCTTATGTCACCCTGGACTGCTTTATGCTTTATGAGATTATTATTTGGTGGCTATTATCATCAATTTAGTCATTAACAGATGTGCAGAATTTCAAAAATGAAATAATAATTTGAATTATTTGAGGATTAAATCGATT